TGATGTGAAATTACAGGTGGTGGTTTGTATGTTTTGTAGGGCTTGGAGGGTAGACTTAATTGAGATGAAAATGCATGTATTATGTAAAATATTTTTGCTAAATGAAATCTCTCTGTGGCACTTTGTGTTTGTGTAAGAGTAAAAGATGTGAAGATAAAAGAAATCCTCTTACTGCTGTGCAGACAGTCACGGTCCTGACGCAGTTGAGTGCGATGTTGAGAAATGGCTGACTCCACCTGTGAGAAGAAATAAAGCAAATTTGAGTGTTTTGAGATGTTGTAAATGTTTGAGCTGCAGTGATCAATGTAAAAAATGAGCCTTAGAGTGTGTTTTATTGTTAAATATTGAAGTGGTTGAGTCGTGGTTCCATACAGGTGATTGGTGGTGATTTGCATTAAAAGAAGACACAAGCACATGTAGTGACAGACAGACTCTGTAGGCTGAGATGAGGGAGGGTGGGTACTCTGCCTGACATTTGAGCTGTTTCCCAGGCGAGTACATGTGCAATGGATTCTGAAAGTGTTAGAGTGTGTCTTTGAGGAAGATGTTCCATAGTGCAGTGGTGTAAGGTAGAAACCCTGCAAGCATAATGTCCCTGGTTTGATCGGCACAAGGTGTTTTTGTTGTATATGTTGCTCCATGAGCTGTTAAGAGTGAGAAAGACTGAAGAGCTGACAGAGGAAATAAGAGGCGTTAACATGCTGTTCCCACACATGTAAAGTGGACTGATGCACAAGCAAAAATACAGTGTTTTCTGCAAAGCCCTATCTCTCAAGTGTGAGAAAATATAATGTTTATTTATATAAGTCTATCTTCTGTCCAGGCTGCTGAATGAAGAGAGATAAGGGGCCAGAGAAGACCTGAAGTGAACACAAACACAAATGTGGTGTAAAATTCCTCACCAAAGCACTGTAGACCGTCTTCCCCTCTGGACCTTCGTTTTGAGTTTTCTTTGCCTTTTCCTACATTTCCTATGAAGGATAACATGAGTTAAGATGTTTGAAAGTCAACAGAGAAGCTTGAGCATGTGGGGTGAACTGGGCTTGCTAAATTATATAAGTGTGAATAATTTGGTTAATTTGAATTTGAGAGTACTAAGTTGTGATTTCCTTTGACATGACTTGGAAGTTAATGGAAGAGCTACACAAAGACATTAAATGTTACTTATTTTGATAGTTTTTTAGTGATATTTAATTGAATTGAATTTACCCAAATGTTTGTAGCATGTGCTCCCATCCGTGCTCCCTCCAAGCCAAGGTGAAAGGTCCGACTGCCAAACAGGAGGTGGGTGAATCCAATGTGATTTATACAAGGGGGAATCCGGATCGTACTAAGTGGGGTAGAGAACAGAGGGGTGTTTTGCTGCTGCCTGAAACAGCAGTTGTACAGGTTATATGTTGAAATGCCAGCCAATCATATGAACTTTTAAGGGCCGACACTGAGAGGAAAGACTGAAAACTTTGAAATGATAATTTTATTGTCTCTGGACAAGTAGCTCAAGGTGCCACTCTACAGACTGAGAAGTTGTGGGTTCAAATCTCATTTGGTCTTACTACCTTTCAGGACTGACACACAGAGGACAGAGCGTGAAACTTTAAGAAATACATTCTCATAGTGTCTGGTTTCATGGCTCAATGGATTAGATACCAAGCAACTCCCAATGCGAGCGGGATTGGTGGCATGGTGGAATTGTTTGTGGCAATAAGGTGGAAAATGTGGAAGTCTCTGGTTTGAATCCAGTCATTGGCAGTTTTGACAGCAGCACAGCGATGGGAAAGGAGGGCGGCCTTGTCCCCCTCCAAATTTCTGGAGAATCACAAGTAGGGGGGTTATGAAACAGAACATACGATTCTTACTATATTAGATTACAGAAATTGGATCACTAGATGAATAAATTTCCCGCCTATTGACATTTACTTGACAGCAGCTAATGAAATATATTCATATAGTAATCCAATTTCTGTAATAATCTAATATAGTAATATAGTTATACTAAAATTCCAAAATGTTTAATAAAACATGGCCCCCCTCCTTTCCCATCCCTGTGGGGCACTTGAAACTGGCAAGCTTGAGCATGTGGGGCTTCTCCTGCTCTTCGGCATTTCTATGACTTACTATACTATGAAATTTTATGCCTTACTATAATATCATATTTTTTTGCCTTATTATATTGCCATTTATATTGATTAGCACCAAGTGAATATGTGTTTTCTGCACTGATAAATAACAGCACAAACATGGTGTAAATAATGCATACTGCTTGATTGTGAGACAGTATGATAAATATACACATTCTTAATCAGACTCGTCTCTTGGCTCCTTTCTCTGCACAGCTCCTCATTGTCACTTTCTAAGTTTGCTTGGTTTTGTCCCTTCTAATCACCATCACTATTATTCAGCATTTGAATGTCGGTATTGTGCACTCAGTGTATTTTCTATCACTGCCATGTTTTATTTAATTTAATACAGTACTGCTGTCAAATGCACTTTTTGACTTGATGCAAATCACTTGCTGTCTAAAGAAACATCAAAACTGAGTTTTCCAACACTAACGTGAAACAAACTGGATGTTTGTGCCCCAAAAAATAACAAGTCACACTGAATAAAGATTTATTCAAACATGTTCATATATTTATTCCAAATAATCACTTTGTTTCTATACTTACTCACTTGCCTGTGTGAATCATGCCTGTAAATAATAATTATGATGGTTCAAAGATACGGTTAAAAAAAACAAACATTTGAAATGGAAAGGGAAATAACCTGTAACCTGTAAATAACAGGTTTGTTTAATAATTACACACTTGCTGATCAAGTTTGTATTGATGGTTTTAGTCACTATGTAATGTGGATGGAGGCCTACAGAACAAACAACAACCCCAAAGTATAGCAGACTACTTCATCACATCCATTGTGCGCTTGGGAGGATGCCTGGAGGGACTGCACGCTGACAGTCAGGGAAAATGACAAGTTGACTTTATTCTCGATATTTCTACTTTATTCTCGAAATGCAAAATAATTTATTCTTGACATTTTGACTTTTTCCTCGAAGCGCATGATGAAAAAAAAAACAAAAACTTCCTCCTCTCATTTTTTCTCTCGTCCACGGCACTAATGCTCCGTAAGAAAATAAATGATTTATCGATTATGAAAATAATTTACTATGGAACTAATAGAGACGAAACTAAGAAGACTCAAATACTGTCAGTGATACTTTTACTTACAGTTTTGACAGAATAGTTTTTTGTATATATTAGAAATTATTTCTATAACATTGGATTTTGGACTATTTTACAGTTTGTAGATCTATATAAACACACACACACACACAGTTCAAGCCACTAATACAACAAAATGTCAGGAGAAATCTGAATACTTCACAGTTAAAAAAAACAAATGGGTCAAGACACAGGGTCAAAATTTAAAACTTTTATTTGTGAACCAATGAAATGGACTGCAATCCATCTGTGCCTTCTATCTTAAAGAATACTATCATGAACATAAGGGGAGAAAAAAAACAACAAAAAAAAACAGCATAACATGACAGCTGGTGCCAGAGCAGGCATCATCACAGACGCTGGCTTCATTGGAGGGGACAGGCAGGCTAATAACATTCTGCTGTGAAGAAAGACGGAGTCTAACTGAAGCCTTATAGTTTTATTGTGGAAGGTTTGGGGGTGTGGTGTGAGTTTTCCCCTCCAATTAAGCTGTCCAGTATAGCAATGCATGCTGCTGGTTTACGGTCTTTGTACACAATACAAAAATATGAGCTGGAAGCACAGGATCATTTTTTTTCACCTGCTATGGCAAACACAACACTAACAATGGACACTGTGAAGTTGAACACAAAAGGCAGTCTTCAGTGTCTTGTTTCATACAAGTGCTTTGACTTTAAAACTCTGACTATCAAAAAAAAAAAAAAAAAGTCAACCTACACCAGCTGTCAAGTATAGCAGTAACAAATAATACCATAAACATTTTTCATCATATTGTTAATAAAAATAAAAAAAAAAGGAAAACTTAATGTTCACTCATTTCAAAAATGCACCCTGGAACATATTTCCCACCCCACAAAAAGGTAGAGTCAATTTGTTGTCTGAACACAAACAATGTTGTTAGATGAGAATTTATAATAAGATTTTAGGGGAAGAAATTGGCTGATTCTCCATTTTATTTTGGAGAGATTTGCACAAATCACAATAGTGAGGTCCCTTCACATAAAGAACAACTAATATCTCATCTCTTTACGAATTCACATGTCTCTCAATCTCAAGAATTCATTGCAGGTCTGCAAACTGTCTCCTTTCATTGAAATTGTAAAAGAGGAGAGAAAAGTTCAGTGCAGACTTGGAAGGCCATTTGAATTATTTTACAAGAGAGCCTTCTTTTAAGATGTCTGGAGTCCAGCTGGTTCCATAGACCCAGCCTTTTACCACCAACAACTCATGGCTCTGAAGAAACCAAACACATCACAGGACCCAGTCAGAATGACCTAGCTTCTTCTGAAAAGGCTCTGTATATCTGCAACATTATTTAATTCACCTTCCTCATTGTTTGGGATTATTTTCAGACAAAATGAGAATGAATAGAAACATCTGAGCAAGGCCAGGAGGAGGGAGAGACCACCAAATAAAACCAGCTTCAAATGTAAGAAATAACTCTTTTCAAACTAGGTCTCCCTTGACCAACGTACAGCTACAAAGCAACTAAGCTCTGACCAAATGTAGCCTGCCCAGGAGCATTGCCAACGGATGTAACAGCGACCAAGTAAAATCTTATTTTTTGGAAAAGGAGGGGTGGGGGGGTTACACCCTGAGTGTTTGACTGTCAGTCACCACTGCTAACATTACTGAGGTAGAGATTTGTCCCGGTTGGAGGACTGATGTTTTCATAAGCTCCCCAGCCAGAAAGGTGCCAGGCCTCAGCTTCCACACCTCCACACACACACTCATGTACACCCTCTCTCTCCTCTCTCTCTCACTCACTCACACACTCACACACAGATACTAACACTCATACATTTGGACAAACAGACAAACAGCTCGGACACATTACTCATCTGTCTGTTCTGTCTGTCCATTTAATACCCTGCGCTCCTTTGTGAGCTGGTAGGCAGAGAAAACCATCTATGGTGACTGGGAATGAAACACTAGGATGCAACTGGAAAACACACATACACACACGCTTATCTTAGCTTATCTTCATAACACTTTCAAGCTCGAGGGGCGATAGCTCAGTGGCACAAGCTCATTACATGCTGTCCTACCACCTCTGCATGTAAAACACTTTCCCTTTGTTACCTGTGCTACATTCGTTCAAGTTGGGTGGCTCTTTTCCCTACAAGGGTCAATTCACTTCACACAATGGATTTTCATCAAAATCAGAAAATGTTGCTATTCTTGATATTTAGCCTCAAATGAAACTATTAAAATACTGCAGTGTCATTTTATATAAACCTATTAATGTGAAATTAAAACAATAGTTTGAATTGGCTGAATAGAGTGAAATGATCTCAGCTCAGCTTTCTAATGACTTACAGATGCTAAGAGAACTAGCATATTTAGCATGTGAAATGTTGTGACCTGATGTAACATAGCAGCGCTTTGACACTGAATGAAAATAGTGACCTCATTTATTCCCAAACTCCTCATTGTGTTCGACAGACAACTAAAAAGAAGGGCATCATCAATAAAACGAGTCAAACAAAAGCAGAGGAAAAGAACTTAAAAACAAGGAGAGGACAGGTTACTTTAACTGAAGACATGGAATCATACTAAAGCTTTGCATATAAGTCATTAAGCAAACAAAAAAACACAACAAAAGCAGCTTTCTATGGCCATGTTTGCTCAAAATAAAAAAATCCAATTGCTTCCATTTTGGTTTTACAGTTTCTCTTTTCCCCTGTGGATTAAAGATGACCTCTGCAGTTTGACAATATTTGCTTGTTCAAAGTGGCATGTAAGCAGCTCTGTATCAGAGCGATTTTCAAACTTTCAGAGTGGAGATGTGGGGCAGGACTTTGGCAAAGTTTGATAAGATTATTTCTCAAGATTGCTTGGGGTTTGTTGAGGGGCACTCATTGGGATAACAAGGACGGCAGCATCTGTTGTCCATGAAAATTGAGCAGCCGCTGAGGGGAAAGTTCGGAAACACGTACTCCTGAGGCAAAGCGGGCCGAGGAGGGAGAGGCGCTGTTCTCACATGGACTCAAATTCATCGATGCGCTGCTTCGTGTTGCCTTGTCGGATCTGGCGCAGCGTTTTGTATTTGTCTCGGCCTGCTTTAACATTCTCGGCGTGAAGCACGTCATTCTGTGTCTTCTTGGTTTCATCTCTGGCCTCGGCCAACTCTGAACTTAATGTCTGAGTGAACAAATAGAAGAAAGGATAAGAGGTTGATGAGGAGAGAAAAAGAGAAGACAGAGAAAAGAAGCAAAGAAAAAATAAAAAAAGAAAGGAAAAACAACAGTGGGATGAAGGGGCACACAAGTTGCGGACAAGTACGCGAAAAAGAACACAGGAGCGGATGAGAAAAACGGGGAAAATACGCCTTAATCATTTTAAAAATAAACATCTGATTGACGCAAAGCCACTAATCTACAGCCTCTGGCTACCTGTGTGTCAATATGTCAGGTTTGGCCACGGGCCAGTGTTTTTCAGCATTATCTTTCAGTGCTGACTTACAGGTGCAGTGGACACACAGGCCAGTGTGTGAATTTTCTTTTAAATTCTTGATTTATAAAACTGTTTGGTTCATGTCTGAATTCTTCTTGCCATAGCTTCAGTGTAAGTCCTGGCCTATACAGTAGCCCGGTTTAGCTCTACAGCCTTTGTAACATGCTTAAAGTTGTGAAAGATATGAAGTGATTTAATATCATCAGTTTGATCAATTAATTACCAGTAGGTCTGCTTTAAAGCCAGGCTACAGTCTAAGCCAGCACATTTACTCCTGTTAAAAGCAGGAGTTTAAAGAAGAATGGACAGAGATGTATGCCTTATCTTACCCTTATTTGCCAATGCCTGGCTGGTGTTTCTTCTTTGCAACAAAACTGCTGTTAGAAAATAATATAATCTCATTGTTATTGTGTTTGCGAGACTTTTGATTGAGTCTTTTGCTTAAAACTAATAAACTGAATTTTTGTGTGGATCAGAAAGATATTGTTTAATGTAATAGAAGTGACTTTATTCGAAAGTTTTTACTCATCTGGGAAGTTTTAGATGTCATTTCAACGCAACGTCACTCTCCACTTGGAGGCGTCATTTATTAGATGTATATTCATGTAATTTTCATGAACTTGATATTAAGTGAGAAAGTGAATTTGACATTGGGAAAGGTAGCTCCCACGCTCATTATCATTTTGTCAAAGAATTTTATATTGTCAAAACCATGTCAAAAGTTTTGATGTAGCCCTTAAACTGAATATTTCAGACTTCACTGGGAGTCTAATTTGGCCCTCAGGACACCATTTTCCATCCCTGTCCAAAAGGTTTTCTCCCCTCGCTCTCACCTGCAGCTGTTGCTTGACCCTCTCGTTCTTCTGGGCTTCAGTGATGCGCTCCTCTTCACTGCGGAGGTCCAGCTGGCTGACGCCCTCGTTGGACAGCTCGGCGCTGGCTTCTGCGTGGTTCTCGTCCTGCTCGTCATGCTCGCTCTCAGCATGGCCGCCAGGAGGCGCTGGCACCACTGTCATTGCAGTCTTCAGTTCCTCCTTGGTCTTCTCCAAGTCCTCCTGGGCCGACAGAGCCTGCAGGAGGGGGACACAGAGAGGGAGAGTGTAAGACAGCGACAGTGCAGAGGGTCTGAATAGTTTTAAGTCACTATCAGAGTGGATGAAGGCACCAATGCAGTTCTAAGTGTTTGCATGTTACTCTAATTTTTGAGCTCAGATTACACAATAAAAACAATGTTTGCCTATATTGGGTTGGAGAGACAGGAGTGCTGTACCTTGTGCTGCCATTCTGTGGCCTCATCTTCTTTCTTCCTTTTGGCGTCTTCCAGGAGAGCGATCTTGGCTGTGAATTCAGCCAGTTCAGCAGCCTGGGATGAAACAAAGATCCTACTGTCACACATACATTCAAATACTCAAAAGACCTTACAGAGAAATGGAATATACTTTACACAATCCCCTTGAATAATCCTGCAGAGTACAGAGGCTTGTGTGCACAAAAACTTAAACTATTTAATATGCACAGCTTGGAATGTCTCACACCATCAAACACACACATACCAGTTGCTCCTGGTTCTTTTGCTGGTCTTCAGCCTGTTTGGCCAGCTCTGACTTTGCCTCCTCGGCCATTTGCCTCTCTCTCTCCAGCCTCTCCGCCTCCTCTCTCGCTCTCTTTCTCTCCTGCTCCAGCTCCATTGCCCGGCGAGTCTGTTCCTCAAGCTCTGTGGAAAGGCACAAAAACAAACAATACATACAATTTCTCCTTTAACTTAATTTTCTACACATTTGAACTTCAAACCTATGAGATCGGCTGGTATTATCAGGTGAAGTCAAATACTGCTGATTCAGGCAGGTGAATCTGAGCATACATAAAGTTTGATTTGTTTATTATGTTGTTGTATCAGTTGTACAGGGGCTACTGTACAATTATGCTAAATATAGAATTAGATATGGTTTCTCTTAAATAAAAACAGTACAAATAAAGTAGCAGTTAACACAACCAGGGGAATGAAAGAGTTATGGCTATTTGACGGATAGAAAGAAGGAAGAGGGAGCCATCAAAGGTAAGTGAACAGATGGATGGATAACAAGAAAAACAGGTACCTTTCTGAGCTGTCATCGTCTGCTCTTCAATCTGCCTTAGCCTCTCCATGAGCTCTTCTTTCTCACGCTCTATCCTTTCCTTCTCTTTCTCTGCATGCTCCCGCTTCTTTTTCTCATTCTCCAGCTGGGCCCTGAAAAGTTTTGTAAGTACATATTTCATATTACTTGAGCATTTATGAGTTAGAGACATTTTACCATAAAAGTTACAAATACAGAGAAACCCAACATATCAACACTCTTAAATAAAGCCGAGCTGAGCTGCAGCACCTTTAACGACATGAAATAACCAGGCACTCCTCCCTCAGAGCAGCTGCGTAAAAGAGGCAAGACTGCCCTCTAGTGTAGAAGCTCTACCATCTGCTTACCTTTACAAGCAGTTTCTTTTAGTGAACAAGCTGCCTCATAAACTTAAATCTGTCTGTTAAATCTATTTCATTCACAATTATCAAATAGAAATTTTGTGCATGCATTTATGTATTTGAGTCGATGAAATGGGGAGTGATTGTCCTGAACTATAATAAGCTAAGTTATCAGATATTAGCTTTACACACGTATTAGTTCAAACATTCTGAACAGGAAATATATTGCTTAGAAACACTTATGCAATTTCTTTTGCAGAAGGCTTTTAATTATATATATTTAAAATGTAAAGGTGGTTGTGAGTGTTCTTCTGCGGTACCTCTCCATCTGCTTGTGGTGCTTCTCCTCCCGGGCCTGAGCCTTCATCTGCTGCACCTCAATGGTATCGGGCTTCCTCCTCCTCATATACAACTCGTGGTTGCCCATACACAATGCCAAGATACGCTTGTTGATGCGCAGACGTGGGGCATAAAACACAAAGTCCTACAAAGGGAAAGGTAAAAAATATATCCTTAAATGTGAAGAAGGAAATGTTCTCTATAAATAAAGCAGAAAGTCTATAGTTCTTATGAATCTGACACTCACAGGTGCTTTCTTGTCAATTGGTTTAATGACAAACTTCTTGTCATTGAAAGAGATGTTTCTGATCTCACTCCAAGGGAAGCCAATCTTTGGTGTCAACCTGGGAAACATTAAATTGTGGTTAATGGTGTGCACTTTTAACATTTGAACTTGCATCCCACTCACATGACGAGACACAGAACAGGATTTTACAAATTCAGCCAGCCAAACTCAAAATATCACCTCCTGCAAAGATTTGACACAAAAGTTGGTGTTCTCTGATCAAATAGAAAGAAAGAGAAAGAAAGGAGTAAAAAAAAAGCTATTCCTTGTGTCTCTCCCTTGTCACCTGGACAAGGGAGAGACACAAGGAAGGACAGCAGTTGTGATGACCCAAGATAACAGACAGGAAGGGCAAAGCAGAGAGACAGTGAGAGGAAATGCTACAGGAGTTGTGATTAAATCTATCCTTTCTTCCACAAACGGAAAAAATCTCTGACCAGGAAAGACTCTCCTACAATGGACAGACACAGTCTTCCTTTCTCCACCTCTCCCTCATTACTAAAAATATCTAACCTTGTTGGAGATTATGTATTGCGAGTCCTTTACTAAGCCAGAACATATTACAGCTTGTTTATGTGAGACGTTAATATCAAATAACAAGAAAATGCAATATAGTTCGAAAGATTTGTTTTGTTATTTTGAAAAAGTGTCCTCATTACATTGTTTACCCACAAGAGAGAGACGAGACAAGTTTTGTTAGTACTGAGTGTTCCCACTTAAAAAACAACTTGTGGATCATGCTGTGTTGACAATAATTGCAAGATCAGCTCTGAGAAGATCCTGCACAGAATGCACAGAATTATCTGTCTATTGGGTATTTGAATCAATTGCCAACTGGTTTGGATGGCTAATATATATGTGTGAAATTAAAATATAGTAAATGAAAAAAAAAAATTCCAAAAATATCAATATGAGACCGACAGATACAAGCAGAAAGGTGTGTTTACGTGTTCATGATCTTCCACTCATTTTATGCTGAAATTAAAGCAACACACCCACCCTCACTCTGTGACATAACCATGTAAAAGTTGCCTCTTGCTCTGGGCTAAGAACTGATCGTAGAGATTACAAGTTTATACAAGATCTGCAAGTCTTTTTTCATGTTATATGGACACTAACATCACACAAGGCTTTGGTTTTGATCTTGTATAACAGCAGCTGTAACAGACATCATTATGACGACATGCGTTGACACACATGTACCAGCAGTTGTGATTGTGACATTATGTATCACTGGCCTCAAATCTACTCTCTTCAGTCTGCTGCTGTTTAGTAACCAACCACAAACCACTGCTCTGAGCCCCTTGCAAGAATGCATCTATATGTGATGGGATTTGTACTTAAACATAGCACATCTATTTCGGGAAACCAAATGCTATCTGAATTTATCTATCTATCTATCTATCTATCTATCTATCTATCTATCTATATATATATATATATACATACACACGTAGACACACACATATATGTTTTGACACATCACTGATTTTGTAAGTGAACCCAGCAAATCTATTTGTGTGTCTGTGCCTTACTTGTCTTCGTGTTCATAGATGTTGAGGCCTAGGGCATCCACGCCCAGCCACAGCTGTGTGCCCTTCTTGTTTTTGATCTCAAAGTAGTTGACGCCGTACATCTCCAAGTCCTGGGCGATTTTTAGATACTCCATCATCGAGTCCTCTCTAAAGAAGAGGAAACACAAGAGTTGGAAGGTTTTGCACATTTTTTAAGAAACATTATCATATCTGTAAAAGAGAAATTAATCTGTGTGAATTTGATTTTGATTTTTAAAAGAAATGGCCACAGTATCATACAATCAAATCACACATTCCAACTTAAGGTAGGTCCAAAGAAACTTTGGGCATTGTTCAGCCCTCAACAGACAGTAACTGCACAGACGATGACGTACTTCCACATCCTAACATGATATTACAAGTCCATAACAAGTACAATCACAGATAAAATGTTTGTCTCTCTCAAGAGGTTTCAAGTGGAGAATGTGATGAGGAAAGTTTGACACACCTGAGCATTCCTCTGTGTTCTTCGTGCCAAGTCTGTATCCTGTCCTCCCACTGCTCCTTGGTCAGCTTGTGTTGCTCCAGGACTCTGTACATAAACACACACACACACACACAATGAAATGACTTTCACCTGAAGGAATGTCGATCGGCACAGAATTGTTTCCTGTGGAGGAAATCATAGATGATTCTAACAGGGAAGGAGACATATTCCAGGTTTGGAGAGATCTGCTGTGTGAAAGCTGAGGAGGCACCTCCCACAGCAGGCAGCAGTCCGGTCACACCAGAGCCATACAGTGTAGGTTGTGACATATTTTGTGTGTGTACCTCTGAGGCAGCAGTCTATCATGGGTAAGGTAGCCGGGCTTGTGGACATCTTTGTTGTAGTCTCCATACTTGGCTTGGACAGCGTATGATGCCAGTAACACAGCTGTCTCTGGAGGACAGTAGTTCTCATCGTTCAGGATCGCCTCCTTCACCTGGAGGAATGGGAAGGAGTAAAGGAGTTATTACATTTATTCAACACTCTCCTTTCTTTTCAAATACTTATCAGTTCAGTTAATAGTTTAACAAAGTGTGGCCAGCTTATGCCAATTACACAGGGAGAACTAAATATTTGTTGAATGGAAACACGCATTAATTAGCATTTTTCCCCTCAAGATTTTTTGGAAACTTTGTTACAATTTGCTCTACATTTGGATGAAAACTTGATTTAGTGAGTGACTTGATACCTGGAGGAAGAAGAGTCTCTGGGTGATCTCCTGGATTAGCTCCTCTGAGACATCTTCGGGGAAGAATTTGGCTCTGAACTTAAACTGTAGAGGGTTCTCTTTCTTCACGTCCTGCTGGGTCACCTGAAAAATAAAGACAACAGCATCTTCATCCATCCATCCATCAGCAGATCATAATCTTTGTGTCATAGTTACATCTCAGTGAGTGGCACGGTGGGATATTTTGAAATTAAATATATATTTAATCCATAATAAAATAGACCAATAACTATTAGCTCATTACAGATTTTTAAATTACTGCATGCATGTCCGGTACTGGTCCACACTGGCTGCGGTGCTTCAACACACGCACATCTGAGCCCATAAACACACTGGTTTCATACGTCAGTGCAAGGGGAATTTTTCATCACATTTTTCTGCAGTCTCTGTCTGTCTTTCTCTCGTTCTTACTCCCTCTCTCTCGCACACGCATGCACACGCACGCACGCGCACACACACACACGCACACAAACAGTTTGAGGGGAATTTTCTATCACGCATACTCGGAAACACACAGACACACTGTAATAGTGGGGTTAATGCTGGAGGGTTTGTTGGCCCGAGTGAGAGAGGAAGCCTGTTATAGGAGCACATCTGAGGCACCAAACCACAGCAGAATTTCTAGGCCAATCCTAGACAAACAACAGACACTGGCACTGGTTCCCGACAAACAAAATGGAAGAATGAAAGAACAGCTACGTGTGTTTTGATGGTTATGACAAAAGGAGGGGATTAAAGTGAAGTGAGACTCACCTTCTTGTTGAGTTTGAGCCAGGTGATATAGCCTTTACTGTCCACATACTGTAGTCCAAAGAACCAGACCTCCCTCAGACCCACTGTCTTCACCACCTGAGAACCAAACAAAATTAAATCTGAATTCCTACATCATCACCAAGCATCAGTTTAAAACTCAACTTCATGGCAGTTTTGCCTTTATTTGACAGCTGACAGTGTAGACAGACAGGAAATAGAAGAAAAGAGAGACGGTGGTGACATTCCACAAAGGTCATCGGGAGTGAATAATGATACAACATCATGGTTATGCAGAAAACATCTTAAACTACTGCCTACATGCATAATTTTAGCATGTGATCATCACAATAAATGAGTTGCTAACCAACAACGCTGGCAGCCTCTACCAATTGAAAAGTGTGCCTCCAGTATTTCACAAGACACCCAGCTGATTACTTTTCAACCCAAAACAGAAAATAAATTGACATCCAGTGCTTATTACTTATTGATTATCACTGGTGGCTATAAAGCAAGTGAATTTGTACAGTAACAGAAAACATTTCCTTTTTACAGCTTGACATTGAGTGGGTCATGCCTAGTGCTTCAATACTAAATCTCTGCTTCCTTTTAGACAGCGAAAAAAATGTCTGTTACAATCCATTACTGAATATAAAAATGATTTGTGGTTGTGTCACTCATGCTCACCTGGTCAAAGAGCTGTTTTCCTGTGGTATTCGGTTGGATGGCAAACTCCAGCTCTGCATCCATGGTGGTAACACGGACATTGATCTGGAAAACAAACACAACAAGAAGTTTACATTTACACAGGCAAAGATTTTGACTTGCCATGGGCAACCATTTTCAGGATTATTGTGAAGCAGCTTGAAGCTTTTTTGTAGCTTAATTAATGTTAAACATAATATACTGTAGGATGTGGCCATAGCATGCATGTACCAACACAACCGACAAGACATAAGTTCAGTTAAGACCGTGTATAGTAAAGACCCTGTATAAATTATTGTCTCCCTTTTCTCTTTCAATATTACTCTGCCAGTGAGAGCAAGCCCCACCTTTCAAGGCAGCCTACTACTCAAGGACCTTTGTTGGGGTGGAGCAGAGGATAACACTCAGTCATTGGCTGTGCTCTGTTGAGGAGCACTGGCAGTAGGCCTAGCAGCAGCTGATGGCACAGAACAGAGCGGGCCTGACCTCCCAAGCATCTCACATCCTTCCTCCCACACCTACATACACACTGAGCTACACGTTGCCTCAGTGGTGGTTAACAACTCGAGAAGAGTGTACATGGTACAGAGAAAGACGAGACACAGTATGAGCGGCAGAGTGCAAAAGCACAAAGTTTAGCAAGAGCGCAAGAGGAATGAAAAAAGAAAAAAAATGCACGGGGGAGATAGAGCGCAACAGGAAGTAAGAGAGATGATCTAGGGTGTGCTCTTTTTAAGATTAAGTTACAGCGATGTTACTGTCGATGAGCCAGCTATACAAAAAAGAAGGAAAAGGAAAAGGGAAACAGAAAGAAGAAACCGAGGCAATGAAACCTTCCTTTTCCAATTATACACAAAACCTCAGGAACGCTTACTTTGCATTTCCCTTTCTCCCCTCTTTATTTCTTCAACGTCTACTGCTTTCATCCCTCTCTCTGTCTCTCAATGCAATGAATAATCCAAGAAACTTGTGTCTATGCAGCATATAGCTGGACCCCCCCCCCTGCCACATAGAGCTCTGACCACAATGTATCTGCCTCTGTCTCCCTCTTACTAATTACCCATAAAAGTTGCAGCACTTTCTCTACACTATAGGCATCTTGCATGAACACTCCAGCATCGCCTACACTATTACTGAAATGTGCAACCGACTATTTATACAACATTATTTTAAAAAGGGACTAAATTTTAACCCACATTTTCACAACCTAACCTGCTTAAGGCAGAGCTTTATTTTGGTTGGAAAATGTGGACAGCTTCCCAGAAAAAGATTACATCTTAAGTGACTAAGTGATTGTATTTTGCCTCTAGTTGCTGCATTAAAATAAATATTGTGTGCTCTTTCAGACCAAATCTCCCTGGCATGCTTGTTGCCAATATGTCTCTCAATGCAGATTCCATACAGAGAGGCCCTTTATTTTAAGTCACCATCAAGACCAAGGCTTGATCCATGTCTGGGAAATATAAGCCAGTTATCTGCAGGGGTGGAAAAACAAAAGACTGAGGTGAAATCAGGGTAACAAGCAAATAACAGGAAAGACGTATACACTTTCAAAGAGGTGTTGAAATGTAGACTGATTCATTTAACAAAGAAAAAAATGTTCTTCACTAAGTTTTATGTTTTAAATGTGTTGACTGCACGATATAACAATACAGGAAATATGTCATTATGTTATAGTTCTTGGTGATGTTACTCTCACCTGAAAACTGCTACTTTCTGCTGAGTGCGTGTACAAAGCTTCATAAATAACTCAAGGTCTACTTTGAGGTTGGAGCATTTTTAGTCCTAGATCAGTTTTTAGCATGATTCCTTAAATTGATTCTGGGATGCTTTATGGATGCAAGTCTTCATGTAGCTCTCTGGGCACTCAACAGCAATGACTGACATCCAATTACATTAGTGGCTTATTATTACAACACAGCCCTGTCAATATCATTTCAACGAGGATGCTATGGATATTGTTACATAGTAGAACATGAGCTATTGCTAACTTGGAACTCTTGACTTGACTCTGATTAGATGGAGATACAAACAACAGATTATGGATTAATATTAATTCAATTACAAACCGTCACCCACACAGACAAGTGTGAAAAAATATTCAACAAGGATCAACAATTATATTTTCCAGGTTCTATCAGAAGCTGCAATCAGACAAAAAGTAATTCCTTCCCATTTCATACCACTGCAGCAGGCCTACACAAACAAATATAACTTTCAACCAACAGGAACCAAAACCCAAAAACTGGTTAACAGGGGTAATGAGAACTGACACCTCCACCCATTTTTTACACCACGTATGTCCTGCACACCCAATATGACTGTGAAAAGAATTCTGCATTCTACACATGTTCCGAGAACAAGAGGTGAGGATATTTACAATGAGTTTAAAACTGATGGGGCCCAAGCAGTGCAGAGTATATGTGTTGCTTTTATAGCACTGTGCCGTAATGACCCTGATCTTCCCGACTATGTGAATTATCACTCTGTGGTACAGCAGGCCTTGGCTAGGGGGGTCATGGGCTCATGTAATAACACTGGTGGTGAAACTGGCACAATTACAATACAAGTATCTTTAATACAAGCCCTCAAGTTGGGCTGCCTTTGTCCTCTCAACATTTCAGTAGGTAGATCTTGCCTTTCCTCAAGGCCGAGGTCAGGGACCTTGGGCTTAAAAAGGTTGGAGAGCACTGCCATAGTGTTTTGTCCTCAGTGATCCTTAATTTAGCAAAACAGACTTGCACTTAAAACCAGTACTGAGATCTTTTTGTGAGAAGATTCTGCAACAAATTTAGTAACAATAAATGAAGCCAGCTTTAATGGCAACATCTCCAACTACACTTAAAAGTGCACCAAACTAAGCCCAGATAAAAGGCACTTCAGCTCCAAATAACCTGTTCATGGTTCACTGACAGATGAATTAAGACTTTGTGTTGGTTTCAAGAGTAGTGGCCTCACTGACTTTCTGAGACAGGAGTGGTTATGGAGAATGTAGTGCTGAGCTGGGGTTTCCAAGTGACCGGCCTTGAATGTCTCTTCCTCTGTGTTTGTGTGGGGCCCGTCTGCCATCAGCAATCAGCTGTGAAAGAGCCAGCCTTTGTGCTGCATGTGTGTATGCGTCTCTGCCAAAACATAGCCAACCCACAGAGAGGAGAGAGGTGGAATCCTGTATGGACCAGACGGTCAGTTAATCCTCTCTCTCCTGCAAAGAGAGGGGGAGGAGAAGAGGGACAACAACATGCCGAGGCACTGACACGGCTAATCACATACACCGACAACTGAGAAGTCTCAAAGGAGCGACTTTTGCAAGCCTGTCCTTATACGACACTGTCCGTCTGGTGACACGAGACACACTGACTGGGCAACATAACAATTCTTAAGAGGACCAATCAGATCTCTTTCAAAATCAAAAGCTTAGGGTTAGACCAGCAGTACAGTTCAAACAAAGGCATATTTCACAACTTATCAGATTCTTTTGCAGGTCAAAGCATGTCTATGACCAACAAATTCAGGTGTGTTTGTTGCTGCCATATTAGGGAGAATCATGATGTGAACTGACATGCCTTAAAAGTTGTTGAAAGAGGTAAACCCTAAAACTAGTGTAACACTGGATGTCCACTTGACGCGGCCGTGTCATGTTCCAGTTGTGGCACAGGTCCAATACATCTCAATGTCCACTTGAAGTGTTATAGAAGCAGACAATAAAAAGAAGCCTGTTCTTCTGCAATCACATTTGCAGTATAGTTTTCAGTTTTATTGCCGACATGTTTTGTGTTTGCAAGCATATTGAATACCTGTTTGCAGCTCATTTAGATATGGTAACAGATGCTTTATGGCTCGGTCTCACTCTGTTTAATTACTGTGCTATGCCACACCATCCTGTATAAGTATTTTCTGCAGAGTGTATATTAGCAGCAGGAAAAATATCTGTCTCTCCAACTCCCTCTCTCAATCACACATCCAGTTGACACTGACACTGGCTAGTCTCGCAGTAGGTCATCACCACATATCTGCATCTGGTGGACATTGTTTACAGCTCATTATCTATCTCCAGTCACATGACACTGAGGCCCAGCAGCAGGCAACGAAGACGTGAAGAAGTGAAGACAAAGCAGAACAAAATCTTTTGTGGGGTTATTGTTTTTTCTTTGTTTTTTTCTAACATACAGAGAGACATCCAGCCTCTAACATGAAAGTGGGGACCAGTTTAAAGCCCCTTTTATATACAGGTCCTGCTATATTGCCATTAAGAAAACCCCTCGTTATGACGCCTTTGCTTGTTTACACGGAATCAGAGGCGTGACGTGTAACACAACAGCGTCGGTGTCCTGTCCCCGCAATGCCCGCTCTGCCCTTTACACAGACGCTGATCCGGCTCTGTGACTATCTCCTCTGCCAGCATAAAGGCAGAACATAAAGGCAGAGCAACAATGTCCCCCCATTCCATGTTCGTACCTCTTATACAGGACAGCGGGGAAGAATAAAGTCACATTCCCACCTTGACTGTGTAAAAGTGACATAAGATTCTGCTTTATCATTGTCTTGTGAGTGGTATAGCACAGCAAGTGAGGCCAACAAAGTGAAATCCTAATGTGTATCTCACTGAGTATTCAAGTTGTGTGGAATCCAGTGGCTGTTTCATTTACATTTTTTTGTTTTTTGGTCAAAGTGCCATTTTGAGATGTTTTTAAATCCTCCTCTCCATTTCAGTTGTGAAGATGAGTTCTCACTCAGACAGGCCCCTTGTTAAATGTGCAGCTGTTTAGTTACTGTAAGCTGTTTAGAGGAGCTTTGCTGAGAGAGGCCTTAAGAGAGAGACACACACATACTTCAATCAGTAGAGCTGCTAATCTGGCCTGCTGGGCTCTGAGCAGCTGTCTGTCCCTCTGATTAACCCCCCCTGCAGGGTGAGGCAGGCCTCAGAGTGAGGGAGGAATGGAAGGGGGAGTGAGAGCAGAGGAAGAATCACCACTACCTACAAACACAAACATTCATCCTTTGGGGAAAGGGAAGGTGAATGATGTGTGTGGGAAGCATCCCATTTCACAAGAGGACAAAAAAACCTACTTATCCGTGCTCAGTTGACTATTGTACAGACAGGATTTGAAATACTCCAAGTGATTTTACAAGACACACTCGAGGTATAATAAAGGGGAAAAGGAGGGCCATACTTACCCTACTTGCTTGTGGACCTAGCTTTTGTGTGGTAAATGAGGTGAAAGGTCAAACACAACTGGCAAACAAGAGTTTTAATGTTGCCCAGCACCAACATTGCAACTCCTCCCTTACCTTAACCCTTACTCTTTTCCTACCTCTTAAAACTCTTGCTGAGTATCTCCTGGGAACTACAACAATTTCCTACTTGCCACTCTTCTATTTCTCAATTTCCAAGTATTCGTAAACTTTATGCTCATCTTTCTGACTCCTCCTTTCCCTGACAGCTCCTAGGTCGTCTGGTGATAATCCTCACTCTTCACCGTGCCTCCACAGAGACAGGATGTTGACACAGACTGGGCCCCGTTATACACAGCAGGGCCCCTCTCCAGCAAACAGGAAAACAGCCACAAGCTAGGAAGCCAGTGAGGGCCTTCTTCCTGTGGGGTGCTGTCACCTCATAATTCCCCTGCCTCCTAACACAAAGAGGGCACCAAACAGAAGGGGTGGGGTCAAGTGGGTGTGGGATATGATATCAAGAGATAGAGAAACAGCACATTAATTCATATAAGTGTATAAATATGTTCATTTAATCCCTAAAATTGACTGTTGATGTTGATGCCCTCAGATAGGGATGCTTCTATCTAATGCATGATCAATGAATCATCATTTTAAAAAATCCAATGATATATTAACCAATTAAGCACTTATGGCATCCAAGGAGCCATGTGACCGGTCAAGGAGAAGCACAGTAGCTGCAGCTTTGGGACAACTCCTTGATAAACAGTGTGTTACTGACATTTCCAGACAAAACTGAAGACTTTCCCCTGCCTCTGAATTTAAGTCACATAGACTGGTGAAGTGGGAGTGTACAAAGAGTCCTCAATCCAGCAATGTCAAAGTTAGCAACATGCAACAGTAAGAAAGCACCTTCCAGGTCTCACTATGAAAGGCTCCACACAAAACTCACTTCTGACCTTATACATGTGCTCACATCCTAAAAACTACTAACACTAAGGTCTATTGTCTAGACTCTGGATAGTTTTCTTTACAAGTTGCTGTAAAGCTCAGCTGTTTAATGGCCTGTTTTATGAATGGAAGAATGTGTTATGTTGCTGCACTGAATCTTGAGTGTCTACCTAATTATTTAATCTTCAGTTATACAATCAATTTATGAAGAAACTGTATTCAAATTTTGCTCGGTTCCTGTTTCAAGTGCTGGAGAACAAATGTAGCAGGAACAAAAGAAACCACTTTGGAAAAAACAGCATTACAGCTGAAATTATTGGGCGATTAGCTCACACAGAAAATGAATCTGCCACAGTTTTAATAATTAATTAATCATTTATCAAAGAAGAAACAAAAATTCTATAAAGTTGTGATTGTTAGTACAAAAGCACTGCTCCAAAACAAATTCAGTATCATCCCTGCTAGCTCCACAAACTCTTTTGTTACTCAAACTTGCGACTGTCTTATACCAGATGAGTGGTGACACTGAGACGTAAGAGGCCTAATTCCAAAAGTTTTGAGGTCTGGCACCAATCCCAGAGAAGGTCATGTCTGATAGGCCCTGCTCTTGCTTCCTCTGTGTATTATGTCAGTGTCTCCCTGCGACAAGCTGTACTTTCTCTGTCAGTTATTGTCTGTGACAGAGATGTCACTCTCAGCAGACTGGCCAGCACTCCGCTGTCCTGGGAGCTGTTTTTGGGATGGTGCCCTGGTGACTCAGGGGACAAGAGGGGGAAGTGGAGGATGACATCAGTGGCTGGCTGTCCCCCCCCCTCCTACACACAGACACACACAAAAACACCCACCACCGAAAGAACAAGACAGGGGATGTGCTTCATTTGTGGCAGAGCCTGAAGCCTGTTGTTCCAAGTTCCTAGGAAAGTTTCTGATGTAAGCTTGAGCAACTTGACCCTGATATCTTTCCAACATGTTTCAAATTCATTAAGTAAACCAGAGGTTGGTCAACTGAGAATGCCAAATACGCAGAACAGCTGTGTCATATTTTGTATGAGCAAAGTAACAAGTGGGCTAGACAACATCTCACTGTAAAGTGACACTAACTGTGCAACATGCAATATCCCACTTCCCGAGTCTGTATATGATGAAGAAGCAGCATGCCAACGGTGGGAATCAGACAGCCATGAAGGGACTGCATCAAATTGGTTTTGATTTGGCGTTGTTCACATCCCAGGACTCTGGCATTCTCTCCACCCTTTAAGCAACAATGGCAGCAGTGTTGCAGTTGCGAGGCCTGTGGGCCAGGCAGTACACTTCACACTCTGGCTGTTGTTTACTTGGAAGAGGAGTATGAGGAGTGGGAGCAGCCATGAGGATGAAACTGCCACTTTCCAGAATGCTCAAATGTAGCTTGGGGCAGCAGTGCAATGCCAACCATTATGACAACTAGAGGGTACTTCTAAAGAGTCAGTTTATACAAGCAGCCTAGGCAGGAACAAACAAGCAACTTTCATGTTTCTGATTCATATCACATATCCTGGGCTAGATGAGTTACTGCTTAATAATTATAACACTACAACTTTATTTTTTCCATCAAACAATCTGACTCAATTAGTAGGGACAGAGTCTAAATGACATTTTTTTTTCCTTAGTAGTGCATTTCTGTATATCTCTGTAAAACACAGTATGATAAAAACAGCTGACACTTCTATGCCAACTCTCATCTAGCTTTCAGTGTCTTACCGGTTTCGGCATCTTTGCTTCCTCTCCTCCTTACACCCAACAGCTGAGAGGATAAATCCGTCACAGGACGACAAAAGCACTTGTATAACAGGGCCTGAAAGCGAAACAGACAATTTTTTCATTAGGCACATGGTACGCATGACTGAAACAATATGAGCAGCTGCCTAAGTACAGGTGCTTGTGTTTTTAGGATTTCCTCTTTAACTATACAATCTAACAAGAAACAATACATTTAATATCAATGATCAGTTAAAAATACAATTTATATATAGGGATCTGTCAATAAAAGCCTGAATTTAGTGGTGTGGACAATATAAAAGCATAAAGCAGAGCCTAACAGAATATAGTTTCAGGAGAGAGGAAATAAGACAATCAGAACAGACAGATAGATTACTCTAAAAAAGATAAAGAAGAAAAAACAAAAATGAAATAAATCCCTTTCCTAAATCTGTTAATGACTACAAGTCACAGACACCCCAAACAGCCAGGAGCACAGAGAAGTGGTTTTACATTCATTCCAAACAAGCGTTACCACTTAGTGTACATATGGTAACTATTGCAAGAGTGCGTAGGGGGAAACTACTATACACATAATTTCTGTGGAAGAGAAAACTGAAAGCCAGTAAATTATGTAGTGAGTGTTGGGATACTGTAATCATCATATGTTATACCTTATCAAAATAAAAGATCAGTCTGACACAAATTAGCAGATATTTGAGCTACAAGTTTTCATCTATTTCACATTGCAGCTCACTACTGCATGCTCACCATTAATTAGACCCATTACTTATATCAAGGCAACTAAAAAAATGTGATCAATAAATCAATAATTTTCTTTGGGATTTCTAGCCACACCTACTGTTGTTAAGAAGTGACAAGGCCCTGAACACTGGCTCACACAACTGGAGGAAGCAAGAAATCTAGATGAAATCAAATTGTCTTATTGTTTAGATTAATTATCACTACATGGGACTGCTTTCATTGGCATATTCCCTGTCAAATTTTCTGCAACATATATGTCACAGCACCAGGTATATTTGACCTGAAACACAAGCCTGAAATGATTTGGTAATGAGCTTTGTTGAACAGCAATTTGAGCCTGAAATGACCCAGGGAAACTAAGAGTTTCTGTTGTGTGAAAACCTCACATCAATTAGATCTGGATATGCATGGTCTGATGGCATTAGGCTCTGTCCTAGATACACTAATCACAATCTCAAAGTTGACAAGGTTTCTATTAGCAAAAGACAGAACGATAACACACCATAACCTGCTAGAGGCTAAACTGCATCATTATATGTCATCGATTGGGATGCTTTCTGTCACTGGGGCTAGCAGTTTTAATTAGTTTTTTAAAGTCCTAAAATCCTTTACATGTCACTGCCATCCTCACATTTATAGACATTGTCATACAATACTGCTAGTTGAACAGCCAGATGTCCTCTGTTGCTGTCTGGTAAAACAACACTAAATATTTTTAAGTACAGGATCCACAACAAAACTATCACAGGACTGTACTCCATTTTGGTAGCTGAAGGAGTAACAAAGATTATCATCATACGAAGGAAAGGTGAGTATAATTAAATATTTAAATATATATAAAAACAGTCAAAGATTGAAGAAATGATAGTGACGTTCAGGTAAAACTTGTAAAGATACCCGCTGAAGGTTTGAGTCGTAGCGTTTGTACTCCAAATGAAGACATGCCCACTTGTAGCTTGTAAGCAATTAGCTTGTCTATTTACCCGCCGAGAGTTGGCTTCCGTTACGTTGCAATTTAAGCACTATTCAGACAAATGGTAGTGAATAACAGTTACAGTCTTGGCAAAGCGTTAGCTACAACAGTGGGTTGCACGACGAAAAATATAAAAATACACACATTTGACGTGTCAAAATGGCTTTACTCCTGAGTTTCCCTGGTTAACACGGTGTTAGCTGTTCCACGACTCTTCTTTCCAAAATGCTGCTCATAAAGTCAAAAGGTGGCCCGTTGAAAGGCTGACATTTTCAAGATAGTGGGTGTAGTCTACATAACGGGACGAGCCTAGCTAGGGTTTGCCCCGCTCATACATACGAAGTTTGAAAGCACATTTAACGTGTTGGCCATCGTTAATTCACCACATTTGACACCAAAAAGGAGAAGCAACCACAAAAATGTAACTTAACACTACGTAAGGCACACTGTGGTGCTTTTACAGGTACAACTTCGTACAAACCAGCATTTATATTGCGTCGTATAAAATAAGAATCGCGCGAACACGAGGATATCCGCTATTGCATCAAACTTGAGGAGTAGCTCATCTTTTAGGGAGAGGCAACTCACCGGGGGGACGAAGTATATCTTTAAAATGATGTAAAGGCCTGGTATCTTCAGGTGTGACAAAATATCCACGATGAAAAATCTGTTGTAGTTCCCGTCCCTTACCTCCTAGTGCTTTTGACGAGATAAATTCCCATAGACATAGGAAAACCGTTGAAGTCTAAACAACCATAAGGCGATTTGGGGTGCTACTGTCGAGTCAGTCTGAATAAAATGCGATGACTTCCGGTCTCAACTTTAAAAATAAAAGCCTTACGGAAACGTACGAGGCGATATTGTAGTCTTTTGTAGTCTAAATTCTGTCAGCACAACAATAACAACAAGTACAGTTATGAAGAAACAAGTACAAAAATATTGCAAGTGCAAACGTAGTCCTCCCAAAATCCCCTTTTGCAATCGTTTACACTACTATGGTCTATTAAACTGTGTTACTGCCTAAAAACAGACACACATAAATTAACAACATTTTTTGTGGCTACAGTTTCTCTCATCTTTCTAATCATCCTATTAAAAGCTCATTTTGAAGTTGAATTAATGTTGCGTTTCATTTTCTTATTGTGAAGGGAGAATGCCTTATTTCCCCTCTTCTCTCCAGTTTTCTTCGTCAACTTGACGCAGCTAATTGTGGAGATGTACAATATGGCTGTCAGTAGCCTAGAAGTGGATGCAAGGTATGTATGAGGCATGCATCGTGGCATATGATGTATGGGGGGTGATTAATGCCAGTGCTAGACTTAACGTGAGTTCCCCAGAACTGAAAGCAAATTGCACTTGCACCAAGACATTAACTATTGTGGAGTATCATCTTTTCTATTTTCAAATAGACTAGATCAGATGTAGAGCTCCCTTCCCCTGGCCCCCTGGCAAGCAGACTGCATCAATGCATTGGCTTGCAATGTAAGTTGTGTTCAAAGTGCGTATAAACATGCACTTCCAGTATTTTGCAGAATTTTAAGTAAGTTTCACCCTTAGCAGTTCATACCTGCTAGAGGATTTAGTGTGTAGACGCACAACAAATTTTTCTGTACTTATTTCTTCTACCACCAGAGGTCATGGTGTCCCTTCTCTTTGTGTCCTAGAGGCGTTACTGAGGAGTTACTGAGAGCTCCTCATTTGTTGGATGTACACCAATCAGCCATAACATTATGACCACCTGCCTATTATTGTGTAGGCGCCCCCTTTGCTGTCAAAACAGCTCTGACCCATCAGGGCATTGACTCCACAAGACCTCTGAAGGTGTGCTGTGGTATCTGGCACCAACACATTAGCAGCAGATCCTTTAAGTCCTGTAAGTTGCGAGGTGACGCCTCCATGGATTGGACTTCTTTGTTCAGGCATCATTTTGCCTGTTTCCAACACATCAACTTCGAGGACTTAATGTTCATTTGCTGCCTAATATATCCCACCCACTGACAGGTGCCATTGCAACAAGATAATCAATTTTATTCACTTCAACTGTCAGTGATCACATGTTATGGCTGACAGGTGTATTTCATTTATTAATTAAAATACACAATAGTAAGGAAATAAATAGAGCTGCTTAAAACCATGCTGTAAGAGGCCACACAAACTCATTCCTCAGCACACATACTGAACAACTTCCTGCCCCTCACCTTGACATTTGTTAACTATTACAACAATAATGTGACTTTCTATTCTCCATTGACTGTGTGTACAGCTTGAGGAGTTGCATTATCTTGATGTAAAAAAAATCTTAAAAGCTTAAGTCTGTTTAGTAAAGTTATTCAGATAATTCAGTGAACAAGCCACTGTGACCTACAGGATAAAGGAGGAGGAGGAGGAGGCAGCACTGAACTGGGTCCAGCTAATTAGGTGGTCAGGAAGCAGAGCTGGGGATGAAACATGCAGGTAAGGACACATACGCTTCTCACCAGCTTGTGATCTGGTACACACAAACATGCGCATTCACAACCGACCTCCACAATAAAACACAAAAATCTTCGCCGCCAACTTTTCATTTGTGCTATCAATCAATGTAATTTCCTAATTGGACACACGGAGGCAGCGCAGCTCCGTCGGTAGGAACTCTAATTAATTTACAGAGGCGTCAGGTTCCTCATGCAGACGACAGCAAGCCAAACTCAATTACTGACGTGGTAGTTAAACGTTTGCACATCGAAAACTACACACCCCCAAAAACTACACACCCCATTCAATTAAAGCCCAGAGACTTTAATTAATACAGTTAAGCTGACAATTCGGCATACAAGTCGTTTGCAAATTTGAATGCAGTAGGCTATAAATTTCATTTTAATTAGACATATGCTGCTTGTGTTGACGCCTGCTATTATGAAGAATTGCTCCCATGTGGAAAACACCCAAGCACTTGAAATCGGTTGACTCCTCTCTTTTCCATGTGCTCTGGACATCCCCGAGACCATGTTTGTGAACTTGGCTGTTAGAAGTGTCACATTGTATTGCATGAGGAACTTGCCTTGGTCTTTATTTAGCCTGGCATATCACCACGTCACAAGATCCCGGACCATATGACTAAGGGCATGCTGCTCTATTGTCAAAGCAATGAAAGAAGCCACTGTGTAGGGGTGGGGGGGGGACTGGTAATTGGATGGGGAATTGGACATCAGATTTGCTTTGATTGTTCTTGCCAGAAGTAGTCAGGTGTGTGTGTGTGTGTGTGTGTGCGTGTATGTGTGTGTATATCTCTCTCTCTCCCTCACTGTGTGTTTGTGAGAGAGAGGGAAAGTCTGTGTTGTAAGACCAGATTAGATATTGTTGCACATCCCTCACGTGCCAGAAAGCAGCTTAGAATACTGAAATGAAACTCTGTGCTAGGACTTTAATTATGATCAGCTGAAAAATACACAAAATGCTTTAATTTAATGTGAATTTACCTGTAAAAAAAAAAAAAAAAAAAAAAAAAAAAAAAATCTACTATTTGGGGCCTTTAACTCTGATCATTCAGCAGATGTTGGCATAAATGAACAGTTTGACCTAAGTTGACCGTGCACGCCCAAATGCCAAGATAAATTGCTGCACAGCTCAATTGAATAAAAAGATCAAATTGGCGTCAGCAATGTTGTTAACACCAGCGAGGACAGAGGTGTGTGTCTGGTACACAGAGGCATCAATGTTGTTATGTGTTACGCAATTGCAAAAGTGCCATCAGTGCTGTCCTGTATGTGTGTGTGTGTGTGTGTGTGTGTGTGTGTCTTCCTTCCTTCCCTACCCTCCCTCCCTCCCCTCCCTCCCTCTCCGTGCACTGCTGACCAAATTAAATGGACAGTGCATCAGTCTCTTTCAGTTCTCATTATTCCTGCTGTGTCCTCTCACCTGGGTCTACTGCGAAGTACGCTCATGGCTCAAGTATTGTTTTTAGTCACTGATTCACTCTGACCGTTGTTGCTTTAGTAACATGTAGCATCTGTGCTCTTTTAGGAGCTGTGAAGTACATGTGAAGAGGAAAGTCTGCTGAGGTTTGGTGTCCGGGAGCAAGGATGGGAGACCAGCAGTCGGTGCCAGAAGAGCTGGAGAAATCGCTGGAGGTGCTGTCGACTATCAGTGGTAGGTCACTGCTAAAGTCAGTTTGTCTTTTTTTTATCCTTCACACAGAGCTTCAATACAGAAGTCAAGATACTCGTACTCCTTAGCAGCAGGTGTTTGAGTTAGTCTGCTGGGGCCTGTTCCACCAAAGCACTGCTTGCAAGCGGTGCTAGTGTCCCGTTTCACAAATGATTGTCCCTCGCCAGGGCTCTCACATGTTCATGCATGGGTTGCAAGTGTGGTGTTTCATTTGATTGGTTAATTGTGAAAGTGATGTTGAAGTTATTTTGCAAGTCGCAGCGTGCATGTTGCAAATTTGTTCTGACGGGCCCACGGTTTGTTAAAATGGGGATTTTTACCTCGGGTGTCTTTCAGGGAGTTCCAGTAAAACAAGGAGAAATTTGACTCGCTGAGACAGTGTGAGAGTGACTGTACAGTTTACCATCATCTTCTCCCTATATACAGCTATACATGCACACATATATGCAAAAATGAGACATGAGTCAAATCTGAGGGGACTCATCAATCATACAATGTTCACTTGCATTGAGGCAGGTCCCTGCTATCCCGCTGCCTCCCCATACGTAGCCTGACCCCCTTCACAGTAGGAGTCCCTAGCGCAGTGACGAGGACGTGATCCTCATTTGCTTCTCAGCTGAGAGACATTGGTCACCTTTGTCCAGTTATCCTCCAGTCTTTACTCTAACTCCTGTGCATTTATTGTTTAAAGAAATTCTTATTAACATCAGAGTACTTCATTAATCCCAATGGAAGATTGTTCTAAATGCTAGGACCATCCACTAACTCTAATATGTGTTACAGCCAGTCAGTTGAGTCAGTTTCAATTAATGGTGTGACTGTCTTCAGGCTGCAGTGACAGGTCTGCGTCTCTTTGTTCCGTTATCCAGAAAAAGCCTGAATAATTCAATTTGTCATCACTGTGATTAGTTTTGAAGCCATTTACGAGAAGGAGGGCACAGGTTTTGATCTCTCGGACTTGATTTAAATCTAATAGCGAAGAATGCCACTTAATGAGAAGTGCATGACCATCATCGCTCGCTACTTTTGAAGTTTAAATGGGAACTCTTTGTGTGATTGTGTGATGATAAATTAGGTAAAATAAAGATAATGCGATAGACTAAGGGAGGAGGAGACCTTTTACAGATGGCACCAGTGTAATTTTAGTTTTTTCCCTGTCACCAGTAATGCCCAAGACAAGTCCAAGACAAGTCCAAAC